GGAATCACCAGGTACCCTTAAACTTATCAGTCTTAGTAAGACCTTTGTAGCATAGGACCTGGTGCATTCAGCGTTCCACCAGGGCTAGTTGGCACACTTTGGTCTACCATACTCAAGAGTGATGGAGGGATCAAAATGCCAGTGCTGGACAGTTTCTAGGCTGAGGGTACACTCAACATGGGAAGATGTGCCGCAGAAAGAATGTAGTTTTAAGCTGTAGACTTTAAAAGGTTGAAAACCTCTGGCATAAACAATAGCCGTATTGCAGGAAAAAGCAGAGAATTCAACTTCCTGAGAATATCAGCTTTCAGCTTTAAAAAGAGTAATTTCTGCTTCTTATGGATTTGAAGATATGCTTAAAATGGTATAAATAGTGTGAAATATATGCTTTAAATTGTGCTGAGATATCAAGAAGTCAGACAGGTGATGTCAAAGATTTCCAGTGGCTCCTTGCCTTTCCCATGTTTGAATTATGCAAATTTGTTAAATTGCAAAATAAAGTATGTGAAGTTGTCCAATTTGTATAATTTATACAGGTAACAGAATTTAGCACTGATTCTTATGAATTCTGTATTGCTTAGACATATGTATTGAAAATCAGTCACTCATATGACTTGATAGTTCAGTATTAATATGTGCGAGCCTGCCTGGATGACAGACAATGAATACTGTTAAACTTCTTTTTTGACAGTACTGCATCCCCTCTGATTGCTCTGCTACTATTGATGCTAATGCTCTCATGCCACAGTAGGCTTGTTAACTCTTGCAAGTGGCCAGGTTCCTTACTCTAAAGATGCAAGGATCTCTATGCCATTAAATGCCTAAAGAAGACCCCCAATATTGTAACTCTCCAATTGCAATTGGCTTAGTTGCTCTGATGTCACAGCATGCTTTCCAAGTCTTTGGTCAGACAGTTCAGTAGGGAAGCCTTTGATTCTGAATTCCAAGATCCACGGGATGCTTTAGACGAACAATCTGAAGTGCATTTCACAAGGGATTTGAAAATAACATATTGTGGTCTCTGAGTCTTTCAGCAGTAATTTGATATGGTTTTGTTGCCTACAGTCTACACCTACATAAACACCTACAAACACACACTCCTGCATCCTATGAATTATAGCATCATGACTGAATATGGAAGGATATATTAAGGCAATCTTTAATATACAGTATCATGCCATCTTACAGCGCAATGAATATTTTTACACAAGCTGGCTTTTAAAACAAGAAGCATCTACCTTGCCTGCTTGCTGATTTCCTGTATTAGAAACCGCCAAGACACCTACCATAAATCTTTTGCTGAATCTGTGGCCCACTTATTTTATTGCCATCAAACAAACCACACAGGGCTTTCTGGTTTTCCCTTCATCAGCATTGCTGTGGTTTATTTATGTGTATTTAGCTCTTAAAAGTTCCTTTAGTCAGTTGTCCATTTTTAAAGAGCTTCCTTTGGAGACTCTGGATTCTAGGGCAAGCTGCTATTTGTGTTTTCAGACTCGGGGCTCTCTGGCTTAAAGCCACATGTTCTCTTGGGAGTCTTCCTGCTGGTTCTTTTTCTATTATTTTCTACCTTCCCCAGTAGATTATAGAGGACATTATAGTGCAGTTACATCCTTCATTACTCTAAGTTCAGAGGTATTAAAGAACAACTCATTTAGAACATGTGATCTTGTGACCATCCCTCTGGAACTGTTTCATACCCACTTCTTCTCAGGTGACTAAAGACATCGCCTACTTCCAGTTACATCCTGTAACTAATTAACAAATTAACAAAACAAAATGATCCTACGTACGTTCAAAAAATAAGCCCTAAGGAATTAAATCGGACTTAGTCCGAGAATAGGACAGCAGCCTAGGACCACCAGCATGGAATATACCTTGAAGAGTCTTAGCATTTCAATAAACAGGCCAGGTACCTCTTCTAGTTAGGGCTGTGTTAAATTTTTGGAAGTGGGGCTACTTGGAAAAGCTGGATTTGCAGTATTTGGGGCCATTGGGCAACTGCTAAAGAAAAAGTACCCCCATCACAACAAAAGGTGGAAGTCAGTTGGAATGATCATATCTCCTTCTTAGTGTCTGCAGCACGAACAGATATTTCCATGGTATAATGCTTGAGGCAGGCAATGGGGTCATCAGCTTCTCAACTAGCCCCCAAGAGGTATAGAAGAACAGAGCTGGAAAAGTTGTTCTGCCTGCCTCCAAAGGCAAAAAAAAGGAATAAATTATCTTACTATGGCTCTGAGCTGGGCTAAGACTTTGCTTGCAATAGGAGCTATAGGTCCTCTTCACATATACTAGGATGGGGGTGGTGGTCATTGGTTTCCCACTGTTTCTCTGTCTCTTGTGGGGAATAAGTTATGAAATGGTGTTCTTGTGAAGCAATAGTGCCCATAGCTGTTGCGCGAGGAGGAACCTAAGATGCCAACCACAGAGGAGGGAGCCGGAGCACGAGAATATGGACACTGAAAATCTAAGCTCAGTCCTATGTGCAGTGATGCAGAGAAGTTTGTGTCAAAGGAAATCGTTAGAACGGCTGAGATTAACTTTGAGATTCATTGGAAGAACTTTTGAGCTACAGGTGGAAGTCCTTGCAGTAATGGGATGACTTCACTAGATAAAACCCACTGTCTTTTTGCAAATTCTCTGATAATATATTTGTGGCAGAAAGAGACTGAGCTCAGCTAGTGAATCAGGAGGATAGAAAAGAAGGGGGGCTCTGTGGGGGGGGAGATGGATATGTAACAGCGAAGGGACTTTTCATGCCTTTGAAGTCTCACTAGTCACAATCATACAATAGCTTTGGATTAAACGGAGATCACAATATATGGCGTGAAATCTTAATAAAAACATAAATGGCCCAGCTTCTGCTTAAAAGGAAAACAGTCTTATGCTGCCTATAATGTCCTATATGTGAATGTAGTTCAGTGTTTGATCCAAATTACTTTAGACCAACTTTCTTTATTATCGCACATGGCAGCAGCAGCAACCAATAAAACCATCAGACACAGTTAAATGTTCATCACGTTATCGGTTGGCAGCTCTTTACATTGCGTATTTTCACCAAGTAGGGGAGCTGATAGCCAGCATGAGCTTCTGATAAAGAAAATTGACTTTTTCTGTTTTGTGCTTGATGAATTAATTGTACATTTTGTTTATATTGAGGCTTTTCTGTTTCTGGGTAAAGATGTCTACTTTATATTGAAAGTACTACAGAAAAGTAGAATATTTGCATGTGTAATCAGCACAGCTAAAAATCCCATCTCAGGGGTGGGGATATAAACTAGCATGGAAAAGGCATTAGAAATTATACTAGGTAGGAGCAATTCCATGTCATCAGGCGGGTGAACTAGAGGTTCTAATAGGTATTTTCCTTACCCTCTATGTAGCAGTAAGCTTCTGTGCAATTCTTCATTGTTGCTTTTCCTTTGAGGACAAGAACTAGTTTGTTTTTAAAATGGAATATACAAGATGAGGAACAGGCAACAGCCAATACACTACCTTCCATAAGCTAAAATTAGGACCCCTATTAGGGTCCTAATTTGGTACAGCTCTAAAGCTGCCTTATTTTCTCAGGATGGCCCCAATAAGGTGTCACTTGACTTCTTGGAAACCTTGCATTTTCGGACCAATGTGCCAACAAATCTACAATTTAAATCTACAGATCTGTCCCCACACCCACTTTTAAGCAGGGAATTCCCACTGCAATATGAGAATTTCTGGAACCAGCAATGGAAGGGAAGGGAAACAAGGTACTAATTAAAGCAAGACTTTGGACACTTCTAAGTCAAAACTTCCCGGACTGCTTTACAGTCTTATTTCTACTGTCTTTGATGTGGCATACTCAGAAATAAGTTTGCACAGGCTTGCAACTTTAGTGTAGGATAAAAATGTAGGACACAGCCCTAGAGAAATGACATAAATGTGTTATGGAGTTTATCACACCTTTACACACACGCTGTGACATCTACCTCAACCCGATCTTTCATAAGAGTGTGATTGTGGGGGCTGTGCATGTATACTGAATAAATATAGCTTAGTCCTGAAAAGGGGGGAAAACCCTCAGTGAAGGAGATATGTGGTAAACTCCCAGCTTATTTCCTGTAATATGTTTGGTAAACGGCTGTGTCAACCTTGCAAAAACTGGAGGCCACAGCACCATCCCACTTCACAGAACTGAGTATATTGAAGGCTCAGATAGGCTATGGTGAGGTATGCTCACAAATATGACCCTTCACCAGAACAGCAAGAGGCTAGAGGAAATCAGTAACATGGAACTATCTTGCCTTGGTAACATACAGAGTCCTGGTCCATGGGGTTGTCCCCAAACTCACTCTACCCAAATCTGGAAGGGACAAAGTGATTGGCAGATATGTCCACTAGTGCAAAATAATTGTCCTAGGCAAATAATGTACTGCTAAAGTAAGAATACATCTTATATAACTTCTCTTCCTCCCTTTTTTGCTTATAACATTTGTAGGATATGAAAGAGTCACAATAATCCCAAAGTAATGGTTGCTCTTTAAAAAAATATCAGTAAGAACCTAAGAAAAGCCTGCTGATCAGGTCAAAGGCCCATCTAGTGCAGCACCCTGTTTTCAAAATGGCCAACCAGATGCCTGTGGGAAACCTACAAACAGAACATGAGCAGAAGAGCATTCCCAGCATACCATGGTTTCCTGCAACTGGCATTTGGAAGCATACTGCCTCTGATGTGGAGGCAGAGAATAGACAATGTCCAGTAACCAACTGCAGCCTTATCCTCCATCTAGATTGACTTTTGCCTATTGCCTTTCAACTTCTCAAAGATCATCATCCTTCATAGACTGGGACAGTTTTTCCCTTCTTTTTTCTACAATATGCACGAAAGCCTACTGGTTGTGAAAATTTGTCTTTGGTTTAAGACTGGTGAGTGTGCAACCCAAGAGAGAATTAAAAACAACAACAACAACAACAACAACAACAACAACAACAACAACAACAACAACAACAACAACATTTACCCATTTCCTTAAGCTCCATGTTGAAGAGTTCCAGCCAGCAAGCATCGATTTCATCCAGGTCATAGCGACTTGCTCTTTGGGAGTATGTCCTGGTGACATCTAAACTGTCAGAGCTGGACAGGTTGCTTGGTGAGGTTTGTGGTGATGAATGTTCTAGAACAGGAACGATCCTAGGGAAGAAAACAAGCATGGACATAAAAGAGAGGTACAGGAAGGAAGAAGTTCCTTTTTACAAGAATGGGCATTTAAATACTGAAATTTAGGAAGCCTAATTTATGCCTAAATGTCAACTCATCTTGATATAAAATTTACCATTTTGGAGCAGAATAATTTAGCAATATTTATACCACAAATGGAAACTGGTTCAACCATTATGGCTTTTCCCAAGGAACCTGTGAAGCATAGTTTTGTGAAGTTGTTAAAAATTCAATTAGAAAGATTATTGGCATATTCACAGAGCTATAGCCACTAGGATTTCTTCAGAGAAGGTGTGATAGTTAAGACGTGGAGAGAAAAGATGGGTAGTATTTAGTAATTTCTGGCTGAAGAGTTCAATGAGACTCCAAAACTTGCAGATGCACACCAAAAACAAACAAATGACCAAGAAGTTAAAATTTCTCAAATTCTACAGGGCTGAAGTGCCAGACTGGGAAAATTATCTGGGGCACCTGCTTATTATTAAAGCCAATTTAGAATCACCTCAAAAGTGGCACTGACTTCCAACTCTTTGAAAGACCTTTGAGGTGCTGTCAAAACCAATGACACACAAATAATGGTTTGTTTGGGAACTATTGACCTTTCTGACAATCAGGAAGTGCTTTTTGAAAGACATAACATGAAGAGAATAAACTATATGTACTAAAGACTATCTAATGGGTTTTAATAATCAGCAGTGTCAAGAAAAAGGTGTTTCTGAGTGACAAGAAAGATATAACCATTCAGCACTGTTACAAAGCTCTGAGTACTTCCCCCTTGACCTTGCTGATAAAACTCACTGTTGAAGTGATTCACATGGCAAATGGTTTCGGGGACACCTTTAGTGTTGGCACCACAAGAGGTGTAACTTTCAAGGGACCATGGAACTGCTGCTCAACTATTAAGTCACAGGTAATATTACTGAGGAAGAACCCCTTCCCAAACCGAACCTTGGGTTCTAGCATGCAACCCTAAGTGATTTAGCTGCTGTACAAAAAGGTAACTCCAGCGTTTATCAGGAAACAATTGCAAGATTATCTCTAAGGATGAGCCTGAGACCAGAGACGGCACGAAACAATTGGTCCAAGAGGAAATCCCCTGTATTAACAATAAAATAATAAAAGTAAATAATTGAATATGATGGCCTTTTAGATAGGCCACCTAATCATAAAGCTAGTACAGTGGTACCTCGGGTTAAGAACTTAATTCGTTCTGGAGGTCTGTTCTTAACCTGAAACTGTTCTTAACCTGAAGCACCACTTTAGCTAACGGGGCCTCCTGCTGCCGCTGCTGCACAATTTCTTAACCCGAGGTAATATTTCTGGGTTAGCGGAGTCTGTAACCTGAAGCGTATGTAACCTGAGGTACCACTATACAGTCGTACATTGGTTGTCGGACACCCTGGAACCCGGACGTTTTGGCTCCCGAACGCTGCAAACCCAGAAGTGATTGTTTCAGTTTGCGAATGTTCTTTTGTAACCCGAACATCCAACGGGCTTCTGCGGTTTCCTGCAGCTAATCAGAAGCCGTGATTTGGAAGTCCAATGGACTTCCGGAACAGATTCCGTTCAACTTCCAAGGTACAACTGTACTGCTGAAGTTAACTCCTTAATTTGGATTTTCTAATTGGTTCTTACCTCTATAGGTGACAACCATGCCTGGTTGAAAATATCTTCAAATATCTTGAAGTACATGCTTACAATTGCCCTAAGAGTACAGCGGGGCTGTACTATTTACAAAGAAGACTGGAAATAAGAATACTTTATTTCTTTTCTTTTCTTTTAAAAAAAAACCCTACTGCAATAGCAAAAAATTGAACCTCTCCAGAACAAAGGAAGAAGCAAACAAAACCCAAAAACTCTCCCACGCTGGCGCATTGTTTTTCTGTTCTAGTGCTGCATTTGTGGCCCAATGGTAATGGGATTTTGTTTACTAGAGTCTTAATCTAACATTCTTCATCTGGTGCACCAGAGGCTTGCCGCAAATATGAACAGAATAGGGTGACCAGATGTAAAAGAAGACAGAGCTCAAGCACCTTTAATAGCTCTGAAGAATTAGGAATTTCAGCTGAAATTCCTCCTTCCACACATTCAAGAGCTCATTTAACATCTGGCCAGCCTCCCCGTGACACCCTGTGGCTCTATTCCATCCTGACACCATGAATTGCATGAATATATCTACAGGAATGGACAAGATGCCCTTTGGCCTTTCCTTTTCTCTAATTCTGTTGTTCTGTCTGTTACACTGGACCGAAAGCTACAAGTTTCTTTCTAAAGTAAATTCAGGGGATGATTAACTCAATTCCTGACTACTTCCCTCCAGTTTCATTACTTCCCATCCACCTGCTATGGCACACATTGCCACATTCAACACACAGGCTGATTCATGTCTTTAGTTTCTGCTTTTACCTCCTGATCTATGGAAAAGCTACTGGGTGCAACCAATAGTAGAGCTTGTAGAGCTGGGCCCATAAGATTGTCTGAAAGTCAAAGGCCTTATGCTCTCACCACAATGAATTAAGGTGGTTCTTCCCACCCTCCCACTAGATGTGATTTTTTTATTTCCCTTTTTCTGTTGTTGCTTTGCCAGCATTACTATAAGCCTGTCGGCAACAACCTCCCACATGTTTTGATTCTGAAGTCAAACAAATAACCCTACCTACGGCTAAATCTGCCTGCATCAATCTTCTCATAATGTTTCCTATGACACTGGAGGCTTTCTTTTCCCTGGAGCTTGCTGAGGATATCACTCAGAATAATCACATGTACAAACCACCACTTCAGGAAGAGAAGGGAGGGGAAATAACCATGGGATTTTTATATATGATACAAAATGATAAGTGAATACAGGCTGTTTCAGCCTCAGCTGAGGTAGGCAAAGCCAAGCAATTAAAGTCATTTACTTTGAGGGCTTCCAGAAGGAGACAATAAGCCCAAAGAATTCTGCTTCTTCTGGTCTATAAAAAATAAAAACTGACAACTGTGCTTGTTAAGGGTAAAGCACTTATTTTCTAAGCCTCCTGCCCCTTTTTGTAAAGGTGGGGAAGCTCAGGAATTTTGTATTTTTTTCCACACAATGACAACTTCCTTGCTATTTAGTGTCTCCATAAACCAGCCAGCTCTCGCTGCACCATCCACCATCCTCTTGTGGTCCTGGCTGTGGACATCGCCTGTTTTGTGAACTGTGGGAGGGCCTTCTCTGCAGTAGTGCCGTGTCCTGCATCTTTGGCGCTCATAATTCATCACCATCTTTTATTCACCCAGGCCTTTGTGACATCCTCACTCATTAGAGATGGGTTACCTATATTTATTAATTTGCTGCTGTGCTACTATGGATCTGCAAATTCTTGTTTGAATTTTATTGTTTTATTGGTTTCAATGTTGTTGTTTGATTTTATTGTTTTACTGCGCACTGTAAACCACCCTGTTGTCTTTTGATGAAGGGTTTCCTATAAATAAAACCAGTAACAGAAAGCAAACTCAGTTGTTGAGTCATAATGGTTAAGTATGAGAAACAGAGCCACAGAGAGAAAAGAGGGGTGCATCTGCCTTTCTTGTGGAACATCAAGGCTGGAATACACGGGGGGCATTTTTTGGTTGGGGCTGTTTAAGTCCCATTTAAATGAAAGACTGGTCCCAAGTTGAATTTAAGAATTGGCATCTGAATGATTTCAAGGGGATTTAACCAGAAGTGATTTTTCTCTGGACAGCATCCTTGCCAGATGGTTAACGAAAAGGGCACAAATGTTGCCAAAACACACAGGAGACAATGGAAAGGCAAAAACAGTGTAGGTTGTCATATATTTTAGTTGTCCCGTGTACAGCAATCTCATGTACAAGGTCCAAGTGCTATTGGCCCCAAGGACTGGGAAGAAGGAAGCATCAAGCCATGGGCAGGGACCATGACATGTCTATGTTCTGTTTAGCAGCTAATTCCCTGTTGGCAATGGCGCTAAACAGCAAAAGAATCCATGGCAGGCTTGCTTAGGGATCCCAAAACTTCTGACAGCTTGGGCACACTTTTTTGTTTCTTTTTTATGAGTGAATTACAGCTGCAGGCATGTTTCAATCTTATCCCCCCAAAAAGGTTCATTTGAGAGTATGCAAGAGCTCTGGATTTGGCTGTGCTTCCTCTGAAGGGCTGTTAATTCTGGCGCATCTCTGCATCAGGATCAACTAAATGATCCAACTACACCCAAGGCAGACATGCAGCAAAGTTACCCACCCCCAGGAAAAGCTGAGTGGGAGACATCGAGGCTGAAGCCGTGAATCACTGAGAGACGCAGCAGACAGGCTCCTCAGTGGGCAGGCAATTTCAGCTTGTGTGAGACTTGTATTTGATGATTACGTATGTTTTGGTTGTAGACGTTTTGGTCATTAAATCACTTCAATATGTTTCATGGGAAAGCGATTCATAAATAAATATATTGTCTATTTCTCACTATACAGTAGCAGTTCATTTGTACGCAGCATAGCATATTTGGAGACTTCTACATACTAAGTGTGTGGTACCTAGTACTGTAGACATCTGCACATGTGGGTAGCAGCCCAGATTGGCAACCGCATATCAACAGTGCTCTATGCAAGTTTTAATGTTCTCTATTTCCCAGAGGTGCTGGGATGTGGGGGATGTTTCGTAAGGGAAGGTGTCACACCCATCACTCATGAAGATTGGCCTTGAACACTGAGAAATAAGGATGAGGAGAGGAGAGGGGCCTTGTCTGCCCATGTAGTTTCTGGGTGGGAATTGAATGGGCATTTGCTGTCAATTCTCCTGCTGTTTTCCAGCAGCTTGGCACCATTACGCATGACACTTGCCACGCACACAACAACAGTGTCACACATAATGATATACCATCACAGGAAGAGCTCGGCCTGAGAAGCGGGCTGTGATGCCAGCTCTGACAGCTCTCGGCACACTCAGGAGCTGAAGCTTGCCATGGTATTTGCAAAGATCACATCTCTCCCTGGAAATA